CTTCATTATGTTTATTTTGTGACTATACTCTATATGACCAAAGTGCTTTAGCTATTTACTTGTCCAAACTTCCCACAAATACAATATCATTTCTAAACTCAACACACAATTCAGATATAAATAACCACAATTTAAACCTAGAAGATGAATGATCACGTCGACCTGATATAAACCTCCATAATCTAACACCCAATCAAAACCTACTGGAAAAGTAACTGCCTTTATTACACAGCATCACAAGCCAGCACTAACCTAAACAGTGCTAAATATCTATCAGTTCTTAACTACAACAAACAGGGCCCTTAAAGGAAACACTAAAGAGACCTCCTGGCACTCCTTGAGTCGCTAAAGACACCCTTCTCCTGCATTATTCTTACTGAGACCTGGCTTAAGCGGACACAATAGAATATCTACCCTCTACCAGGATACACAGCAATCCACAACTGCAGACCATACCAAGTTGGGGTGGTATTGCAATCTGTTACTCTAACCAACTATCTTGTATTAGCACTACTTGCTTTTGTGATGAATATGGGGAAATACATTTTTTTTTGCTAATTTTACTGTAAAAAAACCTTAAGACGCCTATAACAATCGGTGCCATTTTCAGGATACCCCACAAAACAAACCCAAAATTCAGTGAGAATTAAAGATACTAATAACAAACAAACAAATGAACAAGCACCACCTTCTCTTAACTGGAGACTTCAATATCAACCTTGGCCTACTAGATGATCAGCCTGTGTCTGATTTCATCAACAATATGAACAACACACTTCTCATACCAACAATAACTAAACCAACCAGACTCACTGAGACAAGTGCAACCATAATAGACCACATATGAACCAATATACTAACCCCCCTTAAATCAGGGATAATCACAGACAGCACTACAGACCACTATCCTACCTTCCTCTTAATAAACATTAGTAAACCACCACTGGAATACAACAAAGTTTCATTTAGACTCCATGACGAGGCCTCAATAAGGAAGTTCACAGCAGACCTAGAGGCTGTTGACTGACCTACAGAATTCTCCAAGGCCAATGGTATTGACGATTGGACAGACATTTTTCTTAACAAATTACTTAGACTATATAACAAACATTGTCCTATAAAAATGAAACAGATCACGAATAAATGGCTCGGTTGCCCATGGCTAACCAGCAGCATTCCAAAATCCATTGATAAGAAACACCAATGTGAAAAGCAATATAAATAACAAATATAGGGCTTAATACACGAAGATATTCTTAAACACTATTCATCAGTTCACACCAAAGTAATAAAGAAAGCCAAACAACTGTACTACTCCAGCAGATTCACTGACACAAAAGGTGATATAAAAAAGACCTGGAAAACACACACTCAGATTCTGGGCACCCACAAACTGAAAAAAACAAAGAATATTGTCCTAACTAAACCTAATGAAACCCCATTGAAACAGCTAACAAGATAAACGACTTCTTCTCAACCATAGGATCTAATCTTGCCAGTAAAATCCCACGTACCAACGCCCGTGCCAGGGACTATCTAGATGGAAATTTCCCAATTTCCTTCTATCTTGTACCAACTGAGCCCACCAAAGTCACTGAGATTATAAAGTCACTTAAAAATAACTCAGGGAACCTGTCTCATGTCCCACCATTATTGTACAAGCAAGCGGCCCATGTCCTTTTGCATGCTATTTCATTACTTTTTAACAAGTCACTAGAAACTAGCACCTTCCCGAAACTACTCAAGACAGCAAGGGTTACACCAATACATAAAGGTGGTGACCCTACAGATGTAAACAACTATAAGCCAATATCAAACTTGCCATTGCTATCCAAAATCTTTGAGAAACTCATGCACAGGAGACTGTATTCATTTAAAACAGCACAAAACATACTCAACCCCTGCCAATTTGGATTCAGGAAAAATAAAAGCACTAATGATGCAATTGTAAAAATGCTAGATCTGCTTTACATAGCATTGGAAAATAAGGAATATCCGCTAGGAATTTTTATTGACCTAAAAAAAGCTTTTGACACAGTAGACCACAGCATCCTACTCCGCAAACTTGACCATTATGGTATAAGAGGCCATGCGCTTGCATATTTCAAATCCTACCTTACTAATAGGTATCAATATTTCACCATTAAAGACACAGCATCATCAACACAGCCACTTGATATTGGAGTTCTGCAGGGAAGTGTCCTTGGACCCCTGCTCTTCATCATTTACAATGAACTTCCAAACATATCCCAACGCCTGAAACTCATTCTCTTTGCTGACGACACAACTTATGTCATCTCTCACCCTAATCTTGCCACCCTCAACACCATTGTTAATGAGGAGCTGCTCAAAATATCAACTTGGATGGCAGCCAATAAACTTATACTTAACACTGACAAAACCTACTATATAATGTTTGTAGCAGAGCAGGTGCTGCGCAACTTAACATTAAGATCGACAGCACTCTAACTGCCAGACAAAATGAGGGCAAATTCCTAGGCCTATACCTCGACAACAACCTGAATTTCAGCACCCATATCCAACACATATCAAAAAAAGTATCCAAAACAGTTGGGATCCTCTCCAAGATATGATACTAAGTGCCGCAAAATGCCCTTCTCACACTATACCATTCACTCATTTATCCATATCTCACCTATGCTATTTGTGCTTGGGGATCAACTGCAGCAACACACCTAAAGTCAATAATAACTCAACAAAAAGTCGCAGTAAGAATAATCACTAAATCCCATTCCTGGCAACACCCCCCCCCCCCCCACTCTTCATAGATCTAAACTTACTCCCTGTTCAAAACATCCACACTTCCTACTGTGCAATCTACATATACAGGACCTTAAATTCCAATATTAACCTTGACATAAAATGCTTTCTTGATAGATGTGACAGGACCCACAGGCATAACACCAGACACAAACATCCCTACGATATTCCCCATGTCCAACTAAACCTTTACAAAAATTCAATGTATGTCAAAGGCCCTAAAATCTGGAACACTCTACCTGAAAACTCTAGAACTGCAGACACATTCATCACCTTCAAAACTACCGTTAGAAAACATCTTGTCTCCCTGATACACCCCATCAACTAACTACATAAAAACCACCTGGTGGTTCACACTTACACTTACACTCACTCACCCATTTGACTATAAGCACATATCTTGTCATATCTGACAAGAATATAAGAATGAGAAGCTTTTCTCTCAAATCTTCTTAGGTATTGTCTACTTCTCATGACTTTAGTATACAGGTTGACCATCACTAATCCAGCATTATCAGGACATGCAGGGAGCTGGATTAGTGATTTTGCCAAATTACAGAGTGGTTAGGTTAGAATACACTTAAGCAAATGGCGATATTTACTCATTGGAGATTTCGTCCATGTTATGCCCTATTTTTGGCCCATTCCATTGTTCTAGGCTACCAAACTCGTAGCTTTTTTTCCAGTATTCCTTCTTTACCTATTTCAACTGCCCAATAAAGTGGTCATAAATCAGCAATTTGTCCAATTTCACACAAATTTTAAGAGATGCCAATTTCAAAATAGGGACCAGAATAAACAATGCAGACATTCATGGCACTAAAATAACATTTTCTCTGTTCATTAGTCACCTCTCCAGGCCCCTCTTATATTATGCTTGTTTTCCATTTTGAAATTTTTATTCACACAAAAAAAATAGAAGATTTATTGTTATGCAGACTACTGCATTATTGTAATAATTTATAAATAATGTCAACCCATTAGTGACAGCGTATTAGACTGGTCAGTTGGACACGTACTGGACAGTGATGTAATTTGTTTACTTTTGGGCATGGGCAAATATTGAACATTTCTGCTTTGAGCTTAATTTCAAGGCACTTTTCGTGAAACCAATCAAAATCATATCTATTTCTGTAATATATCTTCCTTTCTATCAACTGAAACCAAAAAAACAAGAATACAACCATAAAAACTATACAAAAATACACAGCAAAGTTGCTGTTTTACACCAAAAACACTCAAAGTTTTTTCTCATTATGCACTGTGTGCTGCAGAATTTTTTTATGTAGTGTACACTTACCACATAGACCTATTCTCTTATATGTATGCCCAAATTTACTGATCACAACTTATCTAAGTAAGCTGAGCTCATGGTGACCAACAGTGGCTTCAAAGCCACCTTATTTTTATGGACAATGTACAGTGTATGTGCTTTACACAAAGAGAAGCATTTCTTTTATTTATTGGAACCATGGCTAGGGCTAAAAGTGAGCAGGTTATAACAATAAATGGAGAAAAAAGAAATTGGAATGACTTATGCAGCAAGTAGCACCACCAAACAGTAGAAGCAGGTCAGTGTAGCTACCCCAGAAATTTGAAATTATGCTAGCTGAAATCAGTGCCGGATTACTGATGGAATCGGATTACTGATTGCCAACTTGTACCATATTTTCTTCACTACACAAAATCTGATTTCAGCAACTTAGGTACACTGACATGGAAACAGGAATCTCAAGTAGGTAGATCTATGTAAATTATGATTTGAGATAATTAAATTGCCAATTCAACACATTCATTCCCTTTTGAAGAATAATTATGATGCATATAATATATGGATTAAACTTTTTAGTTTGCATTAAACTAACCATTATAAATCTTAATTAATAGCTAGTATAAAATGTCAAACTGAGTCACCATCAGTAAAGTGACTCAGTAATACACTGTATACAGTATATAAAATGGAAGAGGTAATTATTTTTAAATGTATAAAATCTCGTTTGATAATTATTAAACAGTAAAGCTTCCCGAATTAATAATTTTATTACTGAAAATAGACAATCTCATTAAAAATGCATTTTAAAAAAATTATAATTACTGTATACATTAAAGAGCTAAACAGTTTGGAAGACAAGTTTTACATAAATAAATTTACAAATAATCCCCAGTATCTCAAACTACTATTTGATAACATAGAAAAGAAAACCAGAATATTTCCTTACCCGAGTACCCTGGAGAGCATTTACAGACATATTCCAATTCTCCTTGAGGCACAATACACACTCCATGGCGACAATCATGTTGTAAGCAGGGTTCTGTTTGTAATAGGACAGAGGGACCCAGCTCACAATACTGACCACTCCAGTCACCAGAACACTTGCACTCATAATCACCAACGCCATCAACACACTGTCCACCATTCTATGAAAAAATAATTCAGATCATCAGAAAGCAAAATCTCTACAGAAACATTATCCCACTAAAAGTCTGTGCAATCCAAGAAATAATTTTATACAGTGCATCAAGTATCTCATAACTATAATTTGCATTTTTAAAGCATGTGTAATCAATCTTTCTGCAACTCACCTGACACATGTGATTGGTACAGTCATCTAAGTTCTCAGTACAATTGTTACCAGACCATCCAAGGCTACACTGGCATTCGTATCCTGTCCCATGATCAACACAACTGGCACCATTTTTGCAAGGATTAAACTCCTTGGAACAAAAAGCAATTTTCTTTTCACAGTATTCACCAATATACCCAGCTGGACAAGAACAGGAGTATGAGGTTATACCATCCATGCAGGTGGCACCATTGATGCATTTGTTGTTAACACAGTCATCAATATTTACTTCGCATCGACCGCCCTCAAAGCCGGTGGGACAGTGGCATCTGTGTAAATTATTATTTTTTAATAAGACACAGTATAATGCTTGCATTCTAAAGGATAGGTAAGAATGTTGTAGTTTGGATGATCATTTGTATTGTGATTTCTGCATTCTTCTAGTAAGATAATTATTCAATAGCAGATGGTAAATATGTTAACTTCTTTGGGTTACTGTACCTCAGTGGGAAACAACAAATGTGGTAATGAAAAAACGAGTTTTTTTTTTTCAAAAATCAATCATTTCCTACTAAGGTAAGATGACCCAAAAAATGAAACATGTATCATCCCTCATTCAGCAGTTGTTGTGCCACTATATTAATTTTATAATAATAAACCATACAAAGTTCTGCATCTTAATATAAACAACAAAATTTAAACCCAACTACAACACACAAAGCATAATTATTTAAAGTGAACTTACGCATATCTTCCAGGTTCAAACACCTTGCAAGTGCCTCCATTATTGCAAGGATTTCCATAGCAGGCATCAATTCTATACTGACATTCAGAGCCATGGAAGCCTGCAGTACAGCGACACTCATACTGTTGACCAGGGCTTGATCTACATACACCTCCATTTTGGCAGGGCCGAGTGTAACAAAAGTCACATTTTGCTAAGACTTCATCAGGCACTCTGTCTGCTCAAACAAAATGCAGTTTATTTGTTTATTTACAATGAATATGGGCAGTACCTACCCTATGCAATTCCATTTGGTGTGTTAGCCTAAGCATGCTTTAACATGCTAGAACTGCAACAAAGTATTTATGTACCAAGTAAACTTTCATGATTTTTCTTCCAGTCATATAATAAACACAAAAATATCAAATTTGTATAAACTAGCATGTGGATTATTTTATGTGATAAGTATAATTAAGAGTGAAACTAATGAATGGCAAATAAAACTTTCAATGGTTTTTGCAGTTTTATGAAATATCCATAAAAGTACAGAAAAATTACTGTAGTATATTAACAAAAAAGGCTTTATAATATGGTATTTTTGTACTGCCTAAGAGGCTGAAATTGCAAACAATAGTCAACCAAATTCCACAATGTAATGAGTATTTTATGCATCAGCACATTAGAGAAGCAACTCAAGTGATGAAACACACAGTAACAGACGTACTGATCCATGTAGTAATGAATTTCCTAGAAAGGCCAGAAATTCTACAGTGCTCATCATTAAAGTATGCCAGCCCTCTCTCAAACCACACAATCATAAAATATAGGAAAAAAAATTGTTGTGTGCTTACCAATGATGTAGTATTTTATAGGTCATCCCATGCACATTAGGACATCCTTCAATCATCTAGGAAGTGATTTGCATAAATTCTTCAGGGTTTCTTGGGTAAACTTTCCCATGACTGTGGATGGCAGCCTCCAGACATGGGAGTAAGCTTATGTCTTTCCCTTGTAGATCACTATTGCAACACAGAGGTTCTCAATGGGGTTCAAGTCTGGGAAATATCCTGGTCAGTCATCAAAGAAGAGTAATTCAAAGTCACAAAAACCACTGAACAACAGATTTATTGGTGTCTCAAGGAGCACCGTCTTACATATATGTATATGTATATTTCACTGTGATGCAAGTCACTGAAAGTTGCTACATCCCTCCAAAGAACCTCACTACTGTTTCTTGGTCCATGTTTGCTATTTCTTTGCAGACATGACTAAGCTTTCACTGCACACGGCTCAAAATTGGTTCCTGGATGGGTAGAATGCTTCTGTAAACAAGCTCCTTCACACATCTATTAATAATTCTAATACACACACTATGAAGCAGTTCTGGATTCTTTTCTTTAATATACCATGTAATCATTCTTTGTTTGGTCCCAAGCTTTCTTTATCACAGTAAACACATATGAGAATGTTTTTCTAGGCTTCCCTGGACGTGCTTTTGGTGTCTGGATATCATCATCACCATCCTCATGGAACCAATGCAACCAGTTCCTCACTGAACGCTCACAAATGCTAATGGCTTCAATTATTTCTTTCATTTGATGGCCTGACTTATGTAATCACATGATCTGTGCAACAGTCTTTTGTATAAGACTTATTCCTGTACATATTAATTTGTCTATAGCCAGAAATGTTTGACAAACTGTACTTGGGCCCCCTAATGCAGGGAGACCACAGATAATGTCCATCCACCACACAAGGCACCAAGTATGCAGTGAGTAGCTAACAGAATCCTAAGACATTACACGATGAGTAGGCAGGCTGGCATAAATTTCTCTCTCCAAAACTCCTAACAGGATATGAGTTTCAACATTTAAGTATACCAGACGGAGGTATCCAGCATAATATAATGATGAGCACTGTATACATAAATTATTTTGATTCACTTGGAAAAAAAATGATGTTTTATTAGGGAGTATGTGTGAGAGAGAGCATGTGACATGGCAAGGTGCCTTGCATGCATACATGAGTGTATTTTAGCAGTAAGTGGAAAGGGAAAACAGTGATCCATCCTGGCTGAGTACATTCTTTTTAATTTCAGTGCTAAATAAGTATATGAAATTAGATGCAGAATATTATTGTCCTGGAAAATATCTTCAATTACTTGTGCTTCTGTGGAAAGAGACAGGTTCAGAGTAACAAATACTCGAGTTACAAACAATTTTCAGGCATGAGTCTCATACCCATAAAATAACAGTGATACAGCTGACATATGGATAAGGTTTCATCAAGTTACCTGAGCAGACGAACATCTCTGGTGGCGTTGTAAGTACTAGTTTGTCCCTCATTGCTCTTGGGTCAGCACAACGGGCAATCCCTGGCTCCACATAATCCCCACCCACCCATTTAGCAAGCCATGCCATCGAGCAGTCACAGTACAGCGGGTTAGCCCCCAGAGCTCTGTAAGATTAACTAAGCTTAGGGCAATATAAAGATAAAGACATTTATTTCCACAGAAAAAATGTGTGACGCTAGATGGCTTTACAATTTATAGGGTTACAGTTCAAGGAAAACATTGTATTACATATAAAGAATTGTCAATGCTATGCAAATCATTCAGAGCATTTCTTGAACATATTTTTCCACCAAATTCTATATTTTCAAAACTACAGGCAATACAAGTTTTATTACTACTGTACTACAGTACATTATTTAAAACACACACATGCAAGTTTAAAGAATCAAAACTTGAAATTGCAAATGTTTTCAGCATCTTAATCATTTTTACTATATGGTACTAGCAGTTATTTATGAGACTGAACAACCTTTGTATAATATAGATTACTATTATCTATATTATATTTTTCACACTGGCTGTCTCCCATCAAGGCAGGGTAACCCAAAAAAGAAGCACTTTCACATCATTCACACCATCACTGTCTTGCCAGGGAAAATGCTAAATCTGTAAGAGTCATACAGCACCTGCAGAAATGGGAGGTAATCAGGTTTGATCCAGGAAAAAGGAAATGGCAGCTTCAAATCAAGACCCCCCACACTACCATCAAGACTGAAAAATATTGCTTTTACAAATTTAATTTGAACCTCATTTTCAATGTTCTTAACCTTCCATCATCAGGAAAGTAAACTAATACAGTCATACCCCGCCCTATATCATTAATTAGCTCCGAGAGTCGTGATGTAACTCAGTTTTTGACGTAAACCGGACATGCCTTAACCCTTTGACTGTTGCAACCCCAAATCCTGAAGTGTCTCCTGGTGTCAAAATATTTGGAGAAAAAAAAAAATACTCATGTAATTGTAGGGAATCTTTCGCCGATGATAATGACACCAAAAGTACAAAATTTGATGGAAAACTTACAGAATTACGCTCTAGCGAAGTTAGTGACCTCAGCGACATTTATGCATCAGCGATTTCGCCCACCTTGAGCCCTATTTTCAGCCAATTCCATTGTTCCAGTCCACCAAACTCATAACTATTTCTTTAGAACTCCATTTGTTCTATTGTTTGAGTACAAGAAACCACCCATTTACCAATTTCAACTACCCAATAAAGTGGTCAGAAATTGGCAATTTGGCCAATTTCATGCAAGTTAAAAAAGCGTCAGTTTCAAAATAGGGTCCAGAATGAACAATGCAGACATTCCTGGCACTAAAATAATATTTTCTCTATTCATCAGTCACATATCCAGGCCCCTGTCATAATACTCTTGCTTTCTATTTTGAATTTTTATTCACACAAAAAATAGATTTACTGTTACGCAAACTACTGCAATAATTGTATAAATAACGTCAACCCATTCGTGATTGCGTATTAGAATGGCTAGTTGGACATTTATTGAACAATGACGTCATTTGTTTACTCTTGAACATCGGCAAAAATTGAACATTTCTGCCACTTTGAGCTCCATTTCAAGATCCTTTTCATAGTAAAACCAATCAAAATCACTTATATATATATATATATATATATATATATATATATATATATATACAGTGGACCCCCGCATAACGATTACCTCCGAATGCGACCAATTATGTAAGTGTATTTATGTAAGTGCGTTTGTACGTGTATGTTTGGGGGTCTGAAATGGACTAATCTACTTCACAATATTCCTTATGGGAATAAATTCGGTCAGTACTGGCACCTGAACATACTTACGCAGTGAAAAAATATCGTTAACCGGGGGTCCACTGTATATATATTATACAGTGGACCCTCGCATAACGATATTAATTGGTACCCAAGAACGAATATCGTTAAGCTAGTTTTTTAACGTTATCCGAGGGAAAATGTTAGAGTTAAAAGTATCGTTATGCGAATTTAACGTTATGTGATGCCGTTATGCGAGGGTCCACTGTATATACACCTACCATCCGACTTACGACCTGCTCGACTTCCGACCACTCGACTTACGACCGTGTTTTTTATGCCAAATTTCTGGGAAATAAACAATTATTTGTGTTGTACACAGTGTTTATCCTAAACCTTACAGTATAAAATACAGTACTAACAACATAAAAAGTAAAGTAAAACATGAAATACCAAATAAAATAAAGTCATTACAAAAATGTTTTGTTGATATTCAGTAGTAAAGTTCGACTTACGACCATTTCGACTTACGACCGGTTTCTCGGAACTGAACTCGGTCGTAAGTCGGACGGTAAGTGTATTTTATATATATATATATATATATATATATATATATATATATATATATATATTTTTTTTTTTTTTTCAACGTCGGCCGTCTCCCACCGAGGCAGGGTGACCCAAAAAAGAAAGAAAATCCCCAAAAAGAAAATACTTTCATCATCATTCAACACTTTCACCACACTCGCACATTATCACTGTTTTTGCAGAGGTGCTCAGAATACAACAGTCTAGAAGCATACACATATAAAGATACACAACATATCCCTCCAAACTGCCAATATCCCAAACCCCTCCTTTAAAGTGCAGGCATTGTACTTCCCATTTCCAGGACTCAAGTCCGACTATATGAAAATAACCGGTTTCCCTGAATCCCTTCACTAAATATTACCCTGCTCACACTCCATATATATATATATATATATATATATATATATATATATATATATATATATATATATATATATATATATATATATATATATATATACACAGTGGACCCCCGCATAACGATTACCTCCGAATGCGACCAATTATGTAAGTGTATTTATGTAAGTGCGTTTGTACGTGTATGTTTGGGGGTCTGAAATGGACTAATCTACTTCACAATATTCCTTATGGGAACAAATTCGGTCAGTACTGGCACCTGAACATACTTCTGGAGTGAAAAAATATCGTTAACCGGGGGTCCACTGTATATATATATATATATATATATATATATATATATATATATATATATACAGTGGACCCCCGGTTAACGAACTTTTTTCATTCCAGTAGTATGTTCAGGTGCCAGTACTGACCGAATTTTTTCCCATAAGGAATATTGTGAAGTAGATTAGTCCATTTCAGACCCCCAAACATACACGTACAAACGCACTTACATAAATACACTTACATAATTGGTCGCATTTGGAGGTGACCGTTAAGCGGGGGTCTACTGTATATATATATATATATATATATATATATATTTTTTTTTTTTTTCTCCAACAAGTTGGCCTTCTCCCACCGAGGCAGGGTGACCCAAAAAAAGAAAGAAAATCCCCAAAAATAAAATGCTTTCATCATCATTCAACACTTTCATCACACTCACACATAATCACTGTTTTTGCAGAGGTGCTCAGAATACAACAGTTTAGAAGCATATACGTATAAAGAACACAACATATCCCTCCAAACTGCCAATATCCCAAACCCCTCCTTTAAAGTGCAGGCATTGTACTTCCCATTTCCAGGACTCGAGTCCGACTATATGAAAATAACCGGTTTCCCTGAATCCCTTCACTAAATATTACCCTGCTCACACTCCAACAGATCGTCAGGTCCCAAGTACCATTCGTCTCCATTCACTCCTATCTAACACGCTCACGCATGCTTGCTGGAAGTCCAAGCCCCTTGCCCACAAAACCTCCTTTACCCCCTCTCTCCAACCCTTTCGAGGACGACCCCTACCCCTCCTTCCTTCCCCTATAGATTTATATGCTTTCCATGTCATTCTACTTTGATCCATTCTCTCTAAATGACCAAACCACCTCAACAACCCCTCTTCTGCCCTCTGACTAATACTTTTATTAACGCCACACCTTCTCCTAATTTCCACACTCCGAATTTTCTGCATAATATTTACACCACACATTGCCCTTAGACAGGACATCTCCACTGCCTCCAACCGTCTCCTCGCTGCTGCATTTACCACCCAAGCTTCACACCCATATAAGAGTGTTGGTACTACTATACTTTCATACATTCCCTTCTTTGCCTCCATAGATAACGTTTTTTGACTCCACATATACCTCAATGCACCACTCACCTTTTTTCCCTCATCAATTCTATGATTAACCTCATCCTTCATAAATCCATCCGCCGACACGTCAACTCCCAAGTATCTGAAAACATTCACTTCTTCCATACTCCTCCTCCCCAATTTGATATCCAATTTTTCTTTATCTAAATCATTTGACACCCTCATCACCTTACTCTTTTCTATGTTCACTTTCAACTTTCTACCTTTACACACATTCCCAAACTCATCCACTAACCTTTGCAATTTTTCTTTAGAATCTCCCATAAGCACAGTATCATCAGCAAAAAGTAACTGTGTCAATTCCCATTTTAAATTTGATTCCCCAAAATTTAATCCCACCCCTCTCCCGAACACCCTAGCATTTACTTCCTTTACAACCCCATCTATAAATATATTAAACAACCATGGTGACATTACACATCCCTGTCTAAGACCTACTTTTACCGGGAAGTAGTCTCCCTCTCTTCTACACACCCTAACCTGAGCCTCACTATCCTCATAAAAACTCTTTACAGCATTTAATAACTTACCACCTATTCCATATACTTGCAACATCTGCCACATTGCTCCTCTATCCACTCTATCATATGCCTTTTCTAAATCCATAAATGCAATAAAAACTTCCCTACCTTTATCTAAATACTGTTCACATATATACTTCAATGTAAACACTTGATCTACACATCCCCTACCCACTCTGAAACCTCCTTGCTCATCAGCAATCCTACATTCTGTCTTACCTCTAATTCTTTCAATTATAACCCTACCGTACACTTTTCCTGGTATACTCAGTAAGCTTATTCCTCTATAATTTTTACAGTCTCTTTTGTCCCCTTTCCCTTTATATAAAGGGACTATACATGCTCTCTGCCAATCCCTAGGTACCTTCCCCTCTTTCATACATTTATTAAACAAAAGTACCAACCACTCCAACACAAATCGGCCATCTCCCACCAAGGCAGGGTGACCCAAAAAGAAAGAAAATCCCCGAAAAGAAAATACTTTCATCATCATTCAACACTTTCACCTCACTCACATGATCACTGTTTTTGCAGAGGTGCTCAGAACACAACAGTTTAGAAGCATATACGTATAAAGAGACAACATATCCCTCCAAACTGCTAGTATCCCGTAACCCCTCCTTTGGAGTGCAGGCATTGTACTTCCCATTTCCAGGACTCAAGTCGGCTATATAAAAAATAACCGTCTTGTTCTTGTTCTAAATGAGATTTGAACTGGTTTTGAAAGATCACAATGAAACTGTTTTAACAATTCCACTCATTACAATCCTTGCCTCCATACTTCTTACATCAGTCCTCAGATGGCCCTTACACTTTTTCCACTCTTTCCAAATTTATATATCATTTTATCAATCCCCCTTCCTCCATTCTTTGTACATATTCAAACCATCTTAGCAACCCCCACCCTCTTCCACTCTTTGAATTATATCTTTCTTTCTGTAAACCATCTTCCAATTTATTCATTCCTTAATCTATACACAATAATTCCACTACACACTGATGATACAAAACACAAGTGCACTGCTTCTAGCCTCTCTGATGCAACATTCAAAGGCTCATATAAAGAACGTTTGTAAAACTATGCTTCCATGTAATTTTCTTTTCATCACCTGACAAACTTCTTTCTTTCCACAGACCATACTTTGAACGGAACATTAAAATCCCATCCCCATCACATACTAAATGTAATAAGTTACAAATTTCACAGACTTATACATACATGTGAGTAATTGCCTCAAGATCCCTAAATGTGCCTTCAGGGATGAAGGAAACATCATTGCCATGGAGAGAGAGGATGCGGAGGGACTTCAGGCCTAGAAGGGAGTCTCTCTCCATACATCCTAGCTTGTTGTATGACACAATCCTGGATAAAAAAAATAATATTACCAAATACTGTGCTGCATTATACAGTAGGACACCCGTATCTGCGGGTCTGGTATCCACAGTTTCAATTATTTGCTGTTTACTGTGGCTTGAAAATAACCCACAATTTTGCTTAAAGTCCTGAAAGTGCAAAAAAAAAGTGACGATGAAGGTTCTTCAAAGCCTAAGAGAAGCTGTGAAGTGCTTCCCATCAGTAAAAAAATTATAATTCTCCACTTATTGTTCATAATTTATCAATTAAACTTTATAACAGGCATGTGTAGGACTTAAATGTGGGGTTCACTATTATCCATGGTTTCAGTGTCTGCAGCAAATCCTTGGAACATGTCCTCCATGGATATTGGGGTCCTACTGTATTTCAAAACAGTAAGAGCATGAAAATAAGATGTACAGAGGTGCATTATCTGCATACAAAAAGAAATTAAAGGTAATGATGTTTAGAAAATTATGGAAACAATGTTATATGTAAGGTACTGCAATTAACTGTCAAGGCATTATATTTTTTTTTATTAACACATCGACCATCTCCTACTAAGGCAGGGTTGCCCGAAAAAGAAAAACTTTCATCATGATTCACTCCATCAGTCTTGCCAGAGGCATGCTTTCACTAGAGTTATAAAACTGCAACATTAACCCCCCCCCCCCTTCAGAGTGCAGGTACTGTACTTCCCACTTCCAGGACCCAAGTCCGGCTAACCGGTTTTCCTGAATCCCTTCACAAAATGCTACCCTGCTCACACTCCAACAGCTCATCAGGTTCCAAAAACCATTAGTCTCCATTCACTCCTATCTAACACGTTCAAGCACACTTGCTGGAAGTCCAAGCCCCTCGCCCACAAAACCTCCTTCACCCCCTCCTTCCAACCTTCTTGGGGCAACCCCTACTCTGCCTTCCTTCCCCAACAGATTTATACACTCTCCAAGCCATTCTACTGTGTTCCATTCTCTCTAAATGACCAAACCACCTCAACAGCCCCTCTTCAGCCCTCTAATACTTTTAATAAATCCACACCTCCTCCTAATTTCCACACTACAAATTCTCTGCATAATATTTACACCACACATTGGTCTTAGACACGACATCTCCACTGCCTCCAGCCGCCTACTCGCTGCAGCATTTACAACCCATGCTTCACACCCATATAAGAGTGTTGGTACCACTATACTCTTATACATTCACTTCTCGGCCTCCATGGATAACGTTCTTTGTCTCCACAGATACCTCAATGCACCACTCGCCTTTTATCCTTCATCAATTCTATGGTTTACCTCATCCTTCATAAATCCATCTGCTGACAAGTCAACTCCCAAATACAGCCGGACCCAGGATTTCATCCAGTGCGGATATCATACAATTCGGATTTCGACCAATTTTTGGATGAAGCTTTACCCCAGGTTTAATACCTCCGCTCAGAAATTGTCCATATTAGATGCGTCCGCCTGCCCAGGACACAGCCACTCACATATATGTGACTCAGTCTGCCTCTGCCACTTGTTCAGTGAGCAACACTCCATGTGTTCATCTGAAACATTTTGTAATCCATTGTTTTTTGTGCTTGTTTACTGAGTAACTGCAAATAAGCCACCATGGGGCCAAAGAAAGTTCCTAGTGCCAGCCCTTTGGTAAAGAAGATGAAAAATACGAAAGAAAGAGCTTGTAGCAAAATATGAAAGTGGCATACGTGTGGCCTAGCTCGCCAGGATGCATGGCAAGTCCAAATTAACAATCAGTTCCATCCTAGCGAAGAAAGTAGAAATCAAGGAAGTTGATGTTGCAAAAGGGGTAAATATGTTAACAAAACAGAGATCACAAACAATCGAAGATGTAGAGAAGTTATTGGTGTGGATCAAGGAAAAACAAAAGGTATGTAATAGTGATTTAAAAGTTCATTTATCCATTAAAATTAGTCATTTATATTTACTATCCATTGTTTTCTGTATGTAAAACAATACTTATTCTCTATAAAATATATTTTTTGTTAATATTTTTGGGTGTCTGGAATGGATTAATTAGATTTACATTATTTCTTATGGAAAATATTACTTTGGTTTTTGTCCATTTCGGATTTCAACCAACCTTCTAGAATGGATTAAGGACGAAAACCAGAGTTCCACTGTACCTGAAAACATTCACTTCTTCCATACTCACTCCCTCCCTCCCATGTGATATCCAATTTTTCTTTATCTAAATCATTTGATGCCCCTCATCACCTTACTCTTATCTATATTCACCTTCAACTTTCTACCTTTACACACCCTCCCAAACTCATCCACTAACCTTTGCAACTTTTCTTCAGAATCCCCTAAAAGTACAGTATCATCTGCAAAAAGTAACTGTCAACTCCCATTTTGTATTTAATTCCCTATAATTTAATCCCACCCTTCTCCCCAACACCCAGCATTTACTTCTTTTACAACCCCATCTATAAATATGTTAAACAACCACGGTGACATTTTATATCCCTGTCTAAGACCTACTTTAACAGGGAAGTAATCTCCCTCTCTTATACACCCTAACCCAAGCCTCACTATCCTCATAAAAACTCTTTACAGCATTTAGTAACTTACTACCTCTTCCATACACTTGTAACATCTGCCACACTGCTCCCCTATCCACTACCATATGCCTTTTCTAAATCCATAAATGCAATGAAAACTTCCTACCTTCATCTAAATACTGTTCACGTATATGCTTCAATGTAAACACTTGATCTACACATCCCCTACCCATTCTAAAGCCTCCTTGCTCATCTGCAATCCTGTTGTCTGTCTTACCTCTAATTTTTTCAACAATAACCCTACCATACACTTTACCTGGTATACTCGGTAAACTTCTTACTCTATATTTTTTTACAATCTCTTCTGTCCCCCTTTATATAAAGAAATTATACATGCTCTCTGCCAATCCCTTGGTAACAAAAATACCAACCACTCCAACACTATATGCCCCCCTGCTTTTAACATTTCTGTCATAATCCCATCAGTTCCAGCCGCTTTACCCTCTTTCATTCTATGTAATGCCTCATGAACCTTCCCCACACTCGCATCCTGCTCTTCTTCACTCCTAAAAGATGTTATACCTACCTGGCCAGTGTATGAAATTACTTGCTCCCTTTCTTCATCGACATTTAAAAGTTCATCAAAATATTCCGCCATCTACACCCAATACTTCCAGCTCCCCATCTACTAACTCCCCTACTCTGATTTTAACTGACAAATCCATTCATTCCCTAGGCTTTCATAATTTATCTCACTCCAAAATTTTTTTCTTATTCTCAGCAAAATTTCTTGACAGTGCCTCTCCCACTATCATTTGTTCTCCTTTTGCACTCTCTCACCACTCTCTTCACCTTTCTTTTACTCTCCATATACTCTGCCCTTCTTATATCACTTCTGCTTTGTAAAAACCTCTCATAAGATACCTCTTTCTCTTTTATCATACTATTTCCCTCATCATTCCACCAATCACTCCTTTTTCCTCCTGTACCCACCCTCCTATGGCCCCAAGCTTCTGCCCCACATGCTAATATTGCATTTTTAAAACTATCCATCCCTCTTCAACCCTCCCCCACTACCCATAATTGCACTACCTTTGATATACCCTTGAAGAGTTCCAAGAGTTTAGCTACTCTCGGAGCCTGGCCATGGGCCAGGCTCGTCTGGTGTTTGCCTGGTCAACCAGGCTGTTGCTGCTGGAGGCCCACTGCCCCACATATCCATCACAGCCTGGTTGATCTGTCACCTGGTGAAGATACTTGTCCAGTTTCCTCTAAGGCTTCTACACTTGTTCCAGCTGTGTTTCTGATATCTTCTGGTAAGATGTTGAATAGTCTGGGATCTCAGATGTTGATACAGTGTTCCCTTAGTGTCCCCACCACACCCCTGCTGCTCAGTGGGTTTATTTTACACTTCCTCCCATATCTCTCACTCCAGTATGCTGCTATGGCAGTGTGCAGATTTGGGACCAGGCCCTCGAGTACTTTCCAGGTACAGTGGACCCTCATTTTTCGTAATTAATTTGTTCCAGAGAGCGTGGCTATTATCGAAATTGACGATTTGCAAATCCATTTTCCCCATAAAAAATAAATCCAATTAATTCATTCCAGACACCCAGAAGTATCAAAAAAAAAATTTTTCTACCTTAAAGATAGATTTACATGCACAAAAGAATGAACATTCAACATGACAGTTACCTTTATTGAAGGCTGTTGTTGATGAATGGAAGACAGGGAGGAGGAACGAGGGAAGAGAGATTATTGTTTGGATGTGGAATCCCCCTCCATAAAGACTCTAGGTTGCTTCAGGGGTTACTTCCCTAGCTTAAATATAGATTTACATGCAGAAAAGAATGCCAAATAAATGTAAAGAACTAATAAAATGTATAAATGAACATTTAACATCACACTTACCTTTATTGAAGACTTGTTGGTGTATGGCAGACGGGGCAGAGGGAGGGGAGGCGAGTTTATTGTTGGAGAATATGACACTAATATCAACTCTACGGCTTATTTATCTATCAATTCAACTAATATGACATAATAAGCAATATTAATAACATAGAAACATGGAATATACTCTAGAATGAATAAAATAAGTCTTTATGTATGTCATGTGAGGTGTTGTGTCGTTGTTGTTGGGTGTATCAGGGCCACTGAGAGCATAAGCCTTCCATAATGGTGGTGAAGCAGCAGCTGAGGTGGCGGTGTTTTCTGTAGCCATGTACAACTCCAACAACATTGGAGGAATTAGTAGAATTGCTGAATCACTGAAAAAGGTACCCTCTACCACCATCACAACTACTACCACCCTCTACCACCATCACAACCACTACCACCCTCTACCACCATCACAACTACTACCACCCTCTACCACCATCACAACCACTACCACCTCTACCACCATCACAACCACTACCACCCTCTACCACCATCACAACCACTACCCACCCTCTACCATCCATCACAACCACTACCACCCTTA